TTTTTTTTTGCCGTCACGCGGCCCTCCCCCCGTTGTGGCCTGTCCCGTTGCGGAGCACAGGCTCCGGACGCGCTCCATGTCGCCTGCATCGGCAGGCGGACTCTCAACCACTGCGCCACCATGGAAGCCCCCAATTAATTTTTAAGCTCCCTGAGCCAGGGGCTGCATTCTACAGATAGTAGAATCTCAATGCAGAATGTATGTTTCCAAAATGTCTGCATTCTACAAAATCATGCACTAAAACTAAGACTTGCTGGGAAGAGTAGAGTCTCAAAGCCTATGGAACTCTAAAACCAGAGCTCTCATAAACAAAAACTAGTATTAATACTTCTCTCTACTAGCATTTTAACCCCTAGGATCAACAGTCCTTTTCAGACATATATTCTGGGACTCTTACTTCCTCAGAGATTTAAGTCCTTGAAGATGCTTCAAATGGAAACCACTTCCATCAGAATTAACTATCCAAAGGTAGCCTTTTCTGAATCCAGGGAAGTGTCACCAGCCCCCTTCGTCGGTGCCCGCAGCTCTCCCAGACCTAGAGAAGGGCTACTTCGCCTACTCAGCCAGCCACTTCCTTCAAGGGAAGGCACTTCTGTACGATTCGCATCTGGTTTTATTCTTGTGATTTTGGTTTATCGCCAGGGCTTTCTCTAGTTTTGTAAAAGTTTACCTCATCACTTCAGAACATTAACATGCTAGGAGAAAAAGTCATGGTCAACCCAACTTACCATTATCTACCAATCCATATAATCTAATTTGGGTTAAACACATTTTCAACACAATGTGCTGTTATTTCTGATCTTCTTATAGCACTCTGCCTCTATAGCCCAAAAAAGTAGTACTAGTTTGCTTAGTAATAGCAGTTGGTAGTGGTTATTGGCTATAATAACTATTGTAACTTACTATCTTTTAAAATGTGTATGTGGGTAGTAGGTGTTCCCAATATGCTGCGGGCCTAATTTTGGCTAAATGCCTATGAAACAGTTAAGTGCGGTAGAGCTAGTTTTGACCATTCATGCTATATCCTTATTCATGATAATGTGGGAAGAAAGAACAACCACCCCAAAACAGCTTCTAAATAGCTACAATTCACAAAATAAAATTCTTCATTCTTAGATTTAGGCATCACTTGAGGGGTTCTCTGGATAGCTTTGTTTTTTCTAGGAAAGAAGGGGTAGTTTGTAGTGACTAGTTGTTCGCAGCAGCGGGCCATGACCCAGAGCAGTTCTAAGGGTAAAAGCTGAAACACGAAGGGCAATTTGGGGCCCCTTGGTGTAGGGACCTAACAATCCCATGTCCCTCCAGCCTCTGAGGGCATGACTGCATTATATAGACGTTGAACAGCGTTTTCTAGTTTACATGCTTTTACACATCCCCAGTGAGGAGGACTTGGGCAATATAGGGTATAGAATCTATATTATAGGTTATTCCAATTCACAGACAAAGCTTTGTCCAGCAAGACTCAGGACTGGTTCCAAGTGGACCACTATCACTATACTGTTGCTTCTAAAAGTGAGGAATACTGCTGTTCCAAATCTTAAAACATTAGGTATCTAAGAAAAAGACAAATGTGAGAAATGACTTCTCAACAATGCCAGGTGAATAGTGTTTTATTCTGATAAATTGCCCAGTACATGAAGAGGGGTAAGGTCTGATAGTGTAGTAGGGGGAATGCTGATGTGAAGGTGGTCAGGTTGAATCAGGGGAAGAAGTGTCTTCACTTTTCACCACTCTAATGCCATTGGCTTTGGGGTTTGAGTGTGATTCAAGTCCAGCGCTGCAACTTGGTGGGTGGACTAGCCTCCTTTTTATAAATCCTTCCTTTGGTCTCAGCTCCGGCTTATCTGGAAGGTTAAAACGTCTACTTTCATCTTTGTCATCTTGTCACTAATGTGGTGACAGACTGTCAACTTGTTGGGTGCATAAAATCTTATATGCCTAGAAAAGTAGTTGAAACGGAATTTAAAACCTGTGAATGACCATGTATGGATCTGTCAGCTGTTGATGTATCCTCTTACTGAATAAGCTTTTGTAACCTATCTTTTGTTACTTCAGTAATACCATTCTTTTTTTGTTTTTTAAGCATTGGTCATTTCCTTAATAAATAACAGTAATATATAAGTATAAATATATTCATATCCATATATATGTTTAGTGGCAAATACCAGTAGGCTTACTTCATAGCAGCTGCTCTGTACCCTCATCCCTTTTGTCTTTTACACCTTATCCCCACTCCCTTCACTCTCTCTCACTTCCTTACAGTGTAGATTGTTTTAACCTCCAGCAAATTCCACCACTTTCTCTCAGATTTTGCATCACAGACATCTAAGAGTCAACCTAGGATTTTGGAGCCTGTAAAATTATGGATTCTTTTTGATAGTCTGAGGGAAGAAAGAAGTTTGTAAAGGTTAATGCAACCATAGAATTTAAAAATTGTGATAAGCATTATTTTGAGACAAAGTATAGATGGAAGTGGATAATCTGAGAACCCTTTTCTCTAGAAGTTTTTGTTTGTTTTTAGTAACACCATTCTTAGAGCATTAGTTAGCATGCTAAAGCTACATTATAGATCTAGTACATTGGGGATGTTATAGAATGTTTAGATGGCTTTGCAGGGGCTGAGAGGGAGATATTGAATAATAATGCTTTGTGATATGGTTCTATAGGTTTCGATTCTTCCAATGTGTAGAAGGGGTTTTAATTGTCCTTGTTTCTGCTTGTGGTGTTCAGATTTGTTTCTTCTACCCTGGCAGACCTCTGCCATAATTCTGTTTATTCTTGTCTATGGAGTATATCCCTCAGTTCTTGCTCTTTCTTTTTTTTTTTTTTGCGGTGCGCGGGCCTCTCCTGTTGCGGAGCACAGGCTCTCCCGTTGCGGAGCACAGGCTCCGGACGCGCAGGCTCAGCGGCCATGGCTCACGGGCCCAGCCGCTCCGCGGGATGTGGGATCTTCCCAGACCAGGGCACGAGCCCGAGTCCCCTGCATCGGCAGGCGGACTCTCAACCACTGCGCCACCAGGGAAGCCCTCTTGCTCTTTCTTAATCACCATCCTCCTTCCCCCCCCCACCCCCCATGTAGCCTTGACCTCATCTGAACTCCAAATAAAGTACTCAGGACGAGTAGGCAAGTACTTAATAACATACTGGTTTCCAAATCTGTACCATTACCAAAGGCTCGTTATCAGATCTCTTAAGTTAGTTGTTTAGATGCTGATCATCTAAACATTTAGATGGTATACCTTAGGTATTACTCATTTTAAATTGACCATTTTTTTTAAAGATACATTTGAAGTTAATGGTTTAATCAAATTTAATCACTTTGGAATGTCAAGAGACTATTGCAGCATCATAAGTTCTTGATTTCGGCTAAATCATTTGGAAGAGAAGCTTAGTCATATGATAGTGATAGCCTGTGGATAAAGATTTGGTTTTAAATCGGAAGCTTAAGTGTTAGTTCAAAAACAGGCACAGACTGTACTAATTGTTTTTCAACATTATTAACCTTATGTAATTTAGTTCTTAAAGACTGTCTTGGTCAAACAGGAACATAATAGTCATTGACCTAGATATATGACACTGAATTTCATTTTTTCAGAACTCAAACATTATAAATATTGATGGTTTTGAAACTCCCTATTTACTAAATGAAGATGTACTTTTCTGGTGGCTAGCCACCTGCACTGTCCTGTTCCATTATGAAGGTAATCAAGGAGGTTGCTTAGAGAGCATAGAATTGTGTAGTAAGAATTTTGTTTGGATAATAGAAACCAGATTATCCCTAACTCACACCTAGTAACCAGGAAGAGAGGCTTCCAACTCTGTGGTCAGGACTGGTGGTTACCATTTACTTCTCCCTTGATGTAAGATATAACACTTTGGTACCTTAAACATTTTTGTTTTAACTTAAAAACTTACATTCATTTGCCAGTCTTGATAATAGGGTCAAAGTCTTTGAATACCATAGATTCTTGGCAAGTCTCGTTTTTGAATAAAATACAAAGGTGAAATCTGATTTGCAGTTCACTTTGTACAGAGTAGAATTTTAACTTTCTGGATTTTAAAAATTTCCTTCTTGTAGTCTTTTTTTAGTATCTCATCCATACTTAATTTGATAGCAATTTTTTAAAATTTATTTATTTTTATTATTTATTTTTGGCTGTGTTGGGTCTTCGTTGCTGCATGCAGGCTTTCTCTAGTTTCAGCAAGCAAGGGCTACTCTGCGTGCTGTGTGTGGGCTTCTCATTGCGGTAGCTTCTCTTGCGGAGCATGGGCTCTAGGTGTGCAGGCTTCAGTAGTTGCAGCATGTGGGCTCAGTGGTTGTGGCTCGTGGGCTCAGAAGTTGAGGCTCGTGGGCTTCAGTAGTTGTGGCACACGGGTTCAGTAGTTGTCGCTCACAGACTTAGTTGCTCCACAGCATGTGGGACCTTCCCAGACCAGGGCTCGAACCCGTGTCCCCTGCATTGGCAGGCAGATTCTTAACCACTTCGTCACCAGGGAAGTCCTTGATAGCAATTTTTAATAACACATTTTTAATGAATCTTTGCAGATCCTTTTTTGATAATTCCTTCTTGCTGTCATTTATCATTAACTCTCAGTAATTATAAAAACAAGTACAACTGGCAAAATTTGGGGAGCAAGCTTATCTCTTTTTTTAAATTTATTTTTTGCTGGGTTGGGTCTTTGTTGCACTCAGGCTTTCTCTGGTTGTGGAGAGCAGAAGTTACTCTTTGTAGCTTTGTGCTGGCTTCTCATTGCGGTGGCTTCTCTTGTTGCAGAGCACGGGCTCTAGGCGCACAGGCTTCAGTAGCTGTGGCTTGCGGGCCCAGTAGTTATGGCTCGCGGCCTCTAGAGCACAGGCTCAGTATTTGTGGCACATGGGCTTAGTTGCTCCACGGTATGTGGGAACCTGTGTCCCTTGCATTGGCAAGTGGATTCTTAACCACTGCGCCACCAGGGACGTCCCAACAAGCTTGTCTTGATAGGCTAATTCAACTCAATTGGTGGGAAAGCAGAAGAGCTAGTAATGGCGAACAGTATTTAGTCTAGGATCTAAGGTATTTAATACTAACACTCAACAGTCTTGAAAGGATAGTTACTTCTTTTTACAGAGGACAACACTGGTACCCATCACCATGTGCATCAAGGGATGAAACACATCTTGTTTATGGTTAGTAGAGTTATAAACATCTTCAAGTTGAAACCTGTGCTTTCTAGTTCTTGCTAGATTTGTTTACTCTGGCTCTTTAGTTTCTAATTTTGATACATAAGCCCTATTTGCTAATACTTAAGAAAGCTTAAATTTAAGGCTGTCTTACATTTTACTTTACCAAAATTGCTATATTTGGACTTCGTGGTTCCCTCAGTGTCAGCCATTAGTACTTTAGATAAGGCTTTATCAACTGTTGTGTTAATTTACAGTGCTTTCTCTGGACTTGCCACTGTTCTGCCAGTTATATACTTGGAGGAGTGATGCTGGTAGGAGCAGTAGAGTCCTATCCAGATCAAGAATGAGAGAAACAGAGCTCAGATCACTGGAGCATTAGTTGATCCACTGCTCTGTGGTGATGGTGTGTCCATAGGCAAAGGTGTGCTGCTTTTTTTCAAGTTGAGGGGGATTGTGCACCTGGACAGGTGTTCCTCATCTTCCAACCCTGTTTTAGAGGTTTGGGGGAAAGGTGGGACTTGCTAAACTACTACTGTAAGCCTGGAACTTTCCATTTGGGGAAGGTTAAGTTCTGGCAACTTAAGTAGGTGAATTCTGGGCTGGCTGTGAACTCCTGAGGGCCGTCCATTCCTCTGGCAGTAGGGAGGAAGCTGGGCAGACAGCTGGCACAGTGTCAGAAAACCAGAACCTGCATTGGGGATCAAGCTTTGCTCTCAGTTGATTTATTTCTGGTGAGAATTCTTTGCATTTACTTGAAGGCAATATACTAAGGTAATTTTGCAGACATTTTTGTTCAAGTTGGTCAAGATATTACCTTCATGAACATTATTTGGTTATTTATCATAGCCTTTCCCCCCCCCCAACTTCGGTGAATTCTAACTTAACCTGGCACACAAATTTTCACTTGTAGGATGAATATATATTTCCTGTTACAGATACCATTAAAAAGTGAACTAATAGGATACTACGCTCTGATAATATAGTGTTTGTTTTTGTTTGTTTTTAAGTGTGTGCACATTTCAATCTTAATGCTGTTCTTGACCCAGATTTGCAGTATCCTGTAAAGGCCAAACAGTGTTTTAGGCTTTGTGGGTCATACCGTTTCTGTTGAAATTGCCCAACTCTGCTGTTGTAGCATGAGAAAATGAATGTGAATGTCCATAGTGCTTCTGGGGCTGGAGTTTATGATTATGGTCGATCTTGCAGGTGCTGTTGGTGAGCAGCAGTCGGTACCCAGATCAATGGATTGTCCCAGGAGGAGGAATGGAGCCCGAGGAGGAGCCTGGCGGTGCTGCCGTGAGGGAGGTTTATGAAGAGGTAAGATGAAGAGTAGCACGTTCTGGGTGAGATTCACAAACAAGGCACTTTGCTGCATACACCGGGGAGAAGGCAAGAAGACAGGCAGATCCCACAGTTGCTGTTTGGTTATCTAATTCAACATTTTAAAGCATGTGACTACAGCTAGTGCTTTGCTAAGCAGATATTTTTTTCTACCTGGTAAAAATAGACAGTAAGTCTGATTGGTGATCAACATATAACATTGATGGCCTTGCCCCAGAGCAAGGTTTGTATTAACTGAGCAAAAATGCAGAGACAGTCCTCATATGCTACAATTCCTTTTCAAATGAATCAAAAAGCCAGTTGCTTTTATTTTACTGGCTTTTTCTTAAAGTTCAGTAAAATAAGGGCACACACGTGCACAGAAGCACACTTGGCCTGCCTGTCTTCTCACACCTGATGAGAGATAGAACTTGCTTTTTACTCAGGGGCAAAACAGCATAGATCAAGTGCCATAAAAACTTGAACAGCATTTAGGGCATAAATGAGAAGTGAATGGTAAGGCTCTCATTGGGTGTTGGTGCATAATTGGAAAGGTTTCTTAGAGACGGGTCTTAAGGGATGAGCATCCTCTAGGAGACAGCATGTGCCAATTTGTTACTTTGCAGTATGGGTTTGAATGGGGCACACACTGAAGTTCCAGTGTCACGGTACTAGGTAAAAGGAACAGGACTGTGCAGTGGAAATGTAACACATAGAAAGAAAATATAAATTTTGTTATGTAGAGGTAAAAATTTTACATTCCATCTTTTTTTAATAGGCTGGAGTCAAAGGAAAATTGGGCAGACTCCTGGGCATATTTGAGGTGAGTTACAAAAGTAATCCTCATCTTGCTGATGATAGAATTAATGATTTCTTCCTTCCTAACAGGCCAGCAGCCTGAACTAGACATTTCCTACTTCTGGCAGCAGCCTGAACTAGACATTCCTCTAAAACTATCAGTAGGCAAGCAAGTCATAAGGATTGGGAGGGAGGGAAGTAAAAGCTGCTTAACTTTCATACACCATTAATTTTATACAGCATTATTACAGTGGTAATTTGTTTTATATGACAATACAGTGGGGCTGATATAGACAGACTTACCTCTTGGTTCACTGTATACAGTTTAGGTATAGACTTTTTAGGAGGTGATATCCTCAGTGTCACCTAAGGACTTAGGCCTCTCATGGATACTGTCTTGAAATGTACCCTTTGCCTTCAGCATGTAACATTGAGTGATACACATAGTGACTTTATCCTGAAAGGACACCATGAGGATGCAGAACTCAGATACACAGACTAGATACTAGAAGCGTAGAATTTTCTTGTATAATTTGTTATGACTGAAGTCAGAATGGAATTTGTGGAGAGGAAATTTGGAAGTGACAGGTATTCTATGGAAGGTGGGGAGAAATGAGGTCAGGTCATGAGACCCAAGCTGTTCTCAAATATATTTTCATCCAAAATTCAGACCTAGATACATGGTATATCAGACACATTGTGACTTTTTTTTCCCCCAAGATACTATTTAAGTGTTAGTTTAGTCCTGCTGGTAGGACTATGTAAATACAGTCCTTACAGATTTTAATTTTAAGTCTTTTACAGGGATTCAGAAAAAATTCTGATTGTACAGCACTTGATAGAATTGATGACTTTCAGAATACAGTAATTGTTAAGAATAAAGTTCTTAAGATACTATTCAAAATTTTGCAGAATTCAGCACTTGCTTTAGCCAGTTAAATAGCACCATCTCCTGGTTAAACTGGAAAACATATTGCGAGTTTTCTTTCATTCTCAAAGACATAAGACAGGCAATGAGTGGATTGCTCAGGTGATTTGTGGTAGAAAAAAAAAAGTAGGGCAATTATCTAAAGTCTTAGACTATAGCAAACAAGGCTAACTTTAGTCAAGATGAAGATGAGCCCCTTCATCTTAAGGCCAACTTGGGTTTAATTTTCAACCTAGAGACAAGGCTAGGCAGCAGTTTTAATATGGTTAAAAATTGAGTTTGGGCATATAGGACTAAAATATCAATATAACATTCCAGAAATGGACTATCCTAGGTGTTATTCTCAACCTTTGCTGTGCATAATTCACCTGGAAGCTTTTAAATACTTAGGCCTCCTCTCAGACTCACTGAATCAGTGTCTCTTAAAAAAAAATTTTCATCCTGGGTGATGAAGTAGATGGTCAAGGTTGAGAGGCCCTGGTCTAGGTTAATAGGGCTGTGCTCTGTATGCATCTTGTGACCCTCTAAGAGGCATGTTCTAAAGGAACTGGGGCTATTTGCTCTTCTACAGAGGTCCTAAAGGAAGCAGTTTCCATAGTCACAAAAGACTGTTGGGATTAGCCCACAGGAATAGGACCTAGGATAACGATGACAGGAATGCAGTTCTTTTAATATAGATTCCATTCCAGTCTTAAGATTTTCTTTATGAAAATTGTCTAATGGACAGAAATCAAAGTGCTAAAAGTTTAGTATTGGAAGCTAATTTCACCATTTTAAATGTTTTGTCTCATATAAACTCACTTTTATGCTGGGTTATATGACTGAGTATACTTGCCTATCTTGGCAAATAGACTATGCTAATGTATGCCACACTGAATTTTTCACTCGAAAATGTGTATATGGCTAGCTCTTGTAGATTAAAATGCTTTTCTTTTTATATTCAAGCAGAACCAAGACCGAAAGCACAGAACATATGTTTATGTTCTTACTGTCACCGAAATATTAGAAGACTGGGAAGATTCTGTTAATATAGGTAAATTCCCTTTCCTTTTGCTATCTGAATTCTCTTAATTCAGATACTACATATGTGTATTCAGTTTTCATCTTAAATTATTTTGGGTTACTTTTTAGAGAAGACCAATATAATATACATCTCCAAATTTGAATTATCTTAATATTGTTCCCCAATATATTGTTGTCTAAGCCATTCCCAAAAACATAGTCATTATTTGTGGAGATAGTTGAGGGGGCATTGTTAATAGTGTATAGCTTTTTTAAATTGGCCTCATTATTTTTTATTTTTAGTAACCAATTTCATACTGTTTTTTAGGAAGAAAGAGAGAGTGGTTCAAAGTAGAAGATGCCATCAAAGTTCTCCAGTGTCATAAGCCTGTACATGCCGAGTACCTGGAAAAACTAAAGCTGGGTTGTTCTCCAACCAATGGAAATTCCACAGTCCCTTCCCTTCCAGATAGTAACACCCTGTTTGTAACTGCTGCACAGACCTCTGGGCTGCCATCTAGTGTAAGATAGAGAGAATTGGAAGGACCTCTTCCACCATGTGCAGTCTCGTGGGCAGAGGCTTTATTATCCTTGGCAAACATCTGAATGACGCTTGCAAACTGTCTGAATTTGCCATGCAGGATTTTCAAACAATCTGCATGTTTTTCAGATGCTCTGAAATCTTCTTTAAAAAAAAAAAATAGTGTAAAATATTTTAATAAGCCAAAGCCATGTGGAATTTTTTTTAGATGCCTTAACTCTGCCCCCAGCCCACCCACCTTATTATTTTGGTTGGCATTTTCACAGCATTTTTTTTTTTCAGTTTTTTGTCCATTTGATGTCAGTCTGTGGTTTTTGTCAGATCAGCTTATTCGTGGGTATATTTTTCCCCTAAATTGTTTTCTCATTCACAGTATTAACATATTCAACAAATCCTTCTGTTGTGGGAATTTACGACAGTAATTCTTGATATTAAAGCAGTCCATCAACCCAAAAACTTGTTTCATAGGGTCACAATTTTGATTCATAGATTCCAGACTTGGACTATTTCTATATGGCCCTATTTTCAGGAATTTGTCAACTCATTTGTCTCAGTTTTCACAACCGGTATTATGTACCTAACTACCTGATATGGCCAATTCCCCTAAAACTCGATAGTCCTTTAACACAAAGTTTAACTCTGTAGAACTGGTGATTGTTAGGCAGGTACAGTAAGCAAAATGCATGTAGTACATAACATCACGAAAAGTGTATTCATGGAATTTGAGTTAGCATGCTCCATTGCCAATTCCCTTCATCCATAATCTCTCTTTACACAGAATACATGAGAACCATATTTCCCTCCATGTAAATTGTTTTTAAAAACGTATTTCCAGTTTTTTAATTTAGTGACATCTCTTCAGTTACACTTGCTGGTTACCACCTTAAATGCCAGTCAGTGCTGACTGCATCACAATTGAGTGAAATGGCCTTCTTGTTCAGCTGTTACAGACCTAGATTGTTAAGGCACCTTAGAACATCTCATCTTCTACAGCTGGTTAGTAGGTACTGTTTATCATATAACTAAATATTGGGGCACTGGAACATGCCTGAATTAAGAATTACTTTGTCTTACACTTGTCTTTATATTCACTTAAATCCAAGAATCCCATCTAAAACACATAAATACCTTGTCTGAAACACCTGTAATTCCCTGACCAAGTCAGAAATGAGGTGGGGCAAGTGAAAGATGATTCCATATGTAGACATTCGTTAGCTTCTTGTAAATAATTGTAACTGGTGGAATATAAAGTAGAAAATAAACATAGTGATACATTTGTTCTATAAATTGTTAACCTTTAAAAATATAATTGCTGCTAAAAATAGAGTGCTTTTACACTTAAGGAAAATTGGTGCCACTGTTTTGAAAATGAGATCTTGTGCCATAAATGCAGCTGAATTAAATATAAATATTAGTTCACAAATTAATGCTGTCAAAGGAATGAGTGAAGTAGAAAAACTTTTAACCAGTGATGTTTCATTCTAAATTATGTAGTGTGATCAAACATGATCATCCAGAATTTTTATATTTTTCTTTGTACAGAGGTTATGTATTCTGGGTGTTTTTTTAAAAGGAAACATTTTAAATCCCACAGATTGACACTTTGTATCAATCTTCAATGGACTAAGAGGTTTTTTCTCAGTGATCTCTGAAGTTTCTTTAAATTATATACTTAACACAGCAGAGAAACTGGATTGTTTTTGTATATAAGACTGTGTACACCTGAAATGTTGTCAGAAGTACTGGGAGTGGGGGGGAGGGCTGGGTATCTTGTATATGATATTAGAATAATGCATGAACTTATTTTATAAACCCTTGGACTATGTATTTGACATGTAAAATATGTACAGTATTAATGTCAGCCATTTCTTAAAAGTGAGCCTATAAATATTGTTGTATAATTTTCTTTGGTCAGAAACATTTGGACTAAGTAGTGCCACTGGGTCGGGTTTTCTTCAGTGCCATTTAGCAAACCACCTGTCTTTACTATGCAACTAGCAGAAATTTGTATAATGCATCAGAATATTTCAGTCGTCACACTTTAAATTTCACATGAAGGGTTCTTCACTATTCTTTTGGAACCCAGCCTAGCAAAATTAGAGGAAAGGCGCTAAGGAGATTTATTTCTGTTAAGAGAAAAAAGCCTACATTTGCAGACTCAACAGTTGAATCTACTATAGATAACAAATAGTGTCTACTGTCTCACCTCTTAAAAGTTTACAGTGTTGGGACTGTCATTTGTGCTTTCTGTGGGGTAGTTGGATAAAATTGGGCAGCTAAAATTTTCAGTTCCGTGTGGCTCCTAAATTTTAAAAAGTTTTTAAATTGATTCACAGACACAAAGTAGCAGCTATCTTGCATGTTTGTTGTTGGGTTTTTGTTTGTTAGTTTGTTTTTTTGTAAACTGGTGAAATTTTCCAACCAGGCACATGCCATTCAATTTTCTGTTGATCACACAGTTGTATAAAGCAGCAAAACTGAAGGGGGAATGATTGTTGTATACACTTTAAATTGCTTTGCATGGTCTCATTTGAGATAATTGGTGTAAGAATCTTGACTTTTTTTATATTTGGAAACATCAAATAAAAAATGGGAATGAATTTTTTTTTAACATATCTTAACACTGTCCAAGTGAAAACTTGTCTGGCATTCCACAGTAACAACTTTACTGTTTTCCCATGGGTGGCCATATAATTATCTCTTAATAGTAGTTCATTTATACACTTCCCTTTTATGATCCTTACTAGTGGAACTGAGTTAAAAGGAACAGCTCACCAGTAAGGTGTTGCCATTACTCTCCTAATGTATGTTTTCCATCTTATTGGACACCAGTCATGCCACTGTGGTTGTCTTATTTACTGCTAGTCCCCTTTCCTAACGGGGTTTGTGTTATAATTATTTTAACAATTTTCAAGGGCTCTTGGCTTATTCTATGAGTATTTTGCTGTAATATGTTGCAGACACTTTCTACACTACCATCACATTATTTTTTTTTAATATTTATTTATTTTGGTTGCGCTGGGTCTTAGTTGTGGCACTCAGTATCTTCGTTGCCACCTGCATGCAGGATCTTTAGTTGCTGGACGCGGGCTCTAGTTCCCTGACCAGGCATCAAACCCGGGCCCCCTGCATCGGGAGCATGGAGTCTTAACCACTGGACCACCCGGGAAGTCCCCATATTAATTATTACAGCTCTGTTTTAAAAGGGTGACCCAAAATATTATTAGGTAAAGATGAGCTTTAGAATCCTCACAAAAGTTCTACTCAAATCTCATTTGGTTTTTGATTAGGATTGTTAAATTGGAGGAAAAGAGAAAACTTTTCTAATGTCTTCACGTTGGAATACAAGAATTCTCTCTACATGTCTCTTACACAGACTAAACACTAGTTGAGTTTATTAAAGTATAATTTGTAATGGATTTGTGACAGCTGGAACGTTGCTGTGTGGCTGATTAGGTCTCAAAGTTTCCATCCAATACCTTGTTTCATACATTCTTAATGAAACTGTTTACCATTAGCTGCACAGTAGTCAGCATCTGCTTTATGCCTAGCATTAGACCTACAGAACAGAACAAGTTTGTACCCTCAAGGAGCTTATATTCTAGTGTAGAGATGAGTGATAATTATTTATTTATACATCAGAAAATGTCTTTCAAGGTGTTAGATCTATTTTTTAAGACATATAGGTACCATCTTCAAAAGCAAAATTTTATATAAAAATGTGATTCCCCGTCAAATACTTTTATACATACATTTTATATGGAATTGTAGAACAAAGGTTGAAAAGTGATCTCATCCCTGGTGCTACTTTCTCTCATTTTTAATACCTTCCTGACTAGTGCCATTGGCTAAATTCTAGCAGTAAGATGAGAAGGCTCCTAAGGGCCATCTTGGCATTGCATTATGTCAGAGACCCTAATTTACTCTGAAACTAGTTTTTTTTTTTTTTAATTTATTTATTTTTGACTGCGTTGGGTCTTCGTTGCCGTGCGCGGGCTTTCTCTAGTTGTGGCAGGCAGAAGCTACTCTTCATTGCAGTGCACGGGCTTCTCACTGCGGTGGCTTCTCTTGTGAGCACAGGCTCTAGGCGTGTGGGCTTCAGTAGTTGTGGCGCATGGGCTTAGTTGCTGCGCTGCATGTGGGATCTTCCTGGACCAGGGGTCAAACCCGTGTCCCCTGAGTTGGCAGGCGGATTCTTAACCGCTGCACCACTAGGGAAGTCCCCAGAAGGTAGTCTTAAATTCCTCTACTTTGATGCGATTTCAACTAACTATCCCAAAAGTTATTCTTCCCAATATGTGGAATACTACCCTCTGGACATCCCATTTCCTGGTTCTAATTAAACACCAGTGCCAGACATTATAATAGCACCGTAATTCTTAACTGCTTTTCTCAATTTTTACTCAAATTCATTCCTTAATCAAATTATTGAAATAAAAAATACTTGGCCATTACTGTGTATCAAGAAAATACCTTTTAATCGAGTTACTACACTAGGAATCTAATCTCCAGGAATGTGGACACAGATGTACCTACCAAGATAAGGCAACCAAAATGGTGAGACATGGAAATAAAATGCCCAGGCCCAAAGGGGTAATGGTTAACTAGTAATATATCAATATAATGGAATATTATAGACATAAAAATGGCATTCAGGTTAAGGATGCAGAGTAAATTGGTATGGCCTTTTTGAGAGCAACAGTAGTAGTAACTATCAAAATTTTAAATGCATATAACCCTTTCACCAATTCCACTTCTGGGGATCTAGTTAACAAAAATACTTCCAACAAGTTGCAAAATCAAAATATGGTCAAAGATGTGTATTGCATTTTTTATAAAACTGGCATCAATTTAAATGTACAAACTGGGGGGTTAAATTATGGTCATCTACTTGATAGACACTATACAGCTACCAAAGAAATGTGCTGCCACAGATGGAGGTCCTTTCAATAGTGCTAATTGAAAAACAATACAGCATTACCTGTTAAGGTCACATTTTTTAAAGGAGCCTGTACAGATTTCAGATTTTCTTTAAAAATCCTGTATAGGGACTTCCCTAGCAGTCCAGTAGTTAAGATTCTGCACTTCCACTTCAGGGGGCACGGGTCCGATCCCTGGTTGGGGAACTAAGATCCTGCATGCCGAGAGGCGCAGCCAAAAAAACAAAATCCTGTATAGTTTTTAAGTGAACGTTCTGAGAAATTTTCAGTGTGAAAATGTTCAATAATCTCAAATGAAAAAACTGGGTTTTATAAGTGCCCAACCTGTATATAACCTATCAAAATATATATGTATTACTATCAAAGCAGAAAAAGGAAATCTGCACCACAAATCTCCGTTATCGAAGTAACAGTAATGTATCACTTTTTTTTTTTAAGGGCTTCAAATGCTTGGCTTATTTACTTTTTTATTTGTTTTTTTTGGCTGTGTTGGGTCTTCATTTCTTTGCGAGGGCTTTCTCTAGTTGTGGCAAGCGGCGGCCACTCTTCATCGTGGGGTACGGGCCCCTCACTATCGCGGCCTCTCTTGTGGAGCACAGGCTCCAGATGCGTAGGCTCTGCAGTTGTGGCTCACGGGCCCAGTTGCTCCGCGGCATGTGGGATCTTCCCAGACCAGGGCTCGAACCCGTGTCCCCTTCATTAGCAGGCAGATTCTCAACCACTGCGCCACCAGGGAAGCCCCGTATCACTTTTTAAAAGGGGGAGGAGAGACATCTCCGTCGGTTCTAACACAAGAGCAGTGGAATAATCAATCACTGCCAAGGAGGTAGGGGTTATTTCAGCCTACAGACCAAATGGAGTCCCCAGCCTGTTTTTTGTATAGTCCACAAACTTGGAATGTTTTTTACATTTCTAGTGGTTGGAAAAAAAATACCTTGTGACATGTGAAAATTAAAGTTTTGTTAGAGAAGAGCACAGTATGCCCATTTGTTTAAAATTGTCTGTGGATGCTTTCTCACCACACTGGCAGAGTTCAGTAATCGAGATAGACTCATGGCCTGCAGAGCCCAAAATATTTACCGTTTCAGAATGAAAAAACACGGATTACAAGAATTTGGCCCTACTCCTTTGGTTACTCACAGTCCTGATGCTTCCCGCCAAAACATAAGGAAAACAGCACCAAGTTCAAATTTAGTGTAACCAACATATCGTGTCTAACCTGCTTTTGACAGTTCTGAGTAAGTCGTCTTTAGTAGTCTACTGTTGAACCTAAGCCAGAATACTTTGTAAACTTGCTAGGTTATAATGAAACGAGTTATTGGGATTTACTAATCTAGATCATGAACTATTTCAAAAGGAGTCACATGGTGGGTGAATATGGATCAGGAATATGTAAAATGGAAATGTGCTAGTTATTCCACATGATAGGAACCTGAGTTACCAAATCTTTCATAATTTCTAAAACTTTTTTGTCCCATAGGTAAAAATGCTTAGCAGAGCAATGTTAAAGCTCCTTAATGAGCACCATAAAATGTACTTCTATGAGGTCATGGGATTTTTCAGTTGTCGCTCTGCTATGAGACAAGGAAGGTCTAAATATTCAGACAATTACCATATGCTTCTCCAACCAACCAGAAACAACTACATCAAGTCCACAGCGGCTCAGCTTGGTTAGCAAGTCTGCATTCATACGCTTTCGAAATGCTACGCCAACTGGCACATACGAAATGAGATCAGCTAAAGGGTAGCAAAGGTGAAATTGCAGGGAGAAGGGAGGACCCAGACGCTTCAGGTTGAGTTCCATACTTAACAGGAAAAACTTCAGTCCAACTCCCAGTTTTGCAGCCAATGGGAACTTGTCCAATTTGTAACATAAAGCTGTAGCAAAGTCAACTCTTGGAACAAATCCTCCCAATTTCCAACCTCAATGATAAAAATGGAAATTAACTCAGGGGGTGGGGGATTTGGTTAAGGAAACAAAGTATCACCAGTCTGCATGGTGGAGTACAGATTTTTATTCTTAATATTTCAAGTTATTACAGTCAACATATTTTGCTTTTGTGATCAAGTCATTTAAAAATAAACCCCTGGTATTTCTTAAACTAAGCAGCATGCTAAATAGCTAAATGAAATGTTGCCCCCAGCCCCAAAATACATTATTCCAATGAAATATTACATTTTTTTAAATAGATTGTTGAATTAGCTGCCCTATAATCATGGCATTTTTTTTTTGCCACCTTTTGTAGGTAAGGTTGTATTTTTAAACCTTTGCTACTGCAACTAACAAAAAGTTGATGTGGCTAGAGTAAGTAGCCAAAAGATTCCTGAACCATCAAATAGAAAAATAAAGCCGATTCCTATCATTCCCATGATACCATTTAGTTCCATTTAGCTAAAATTGTGTTTATGTCTTAAAGGATACCGGATTTCCCCGCCACACTCTCCTTTAATAGTGCTAAACCATAGCACCTGTGGCTATTGTGTATTGATTTACTTTTAAATGTTCTGAAATATACGTATTAAAAGTGTGTTCTTGGTGTAGAACAGTGTTTAAGTTCTACATAATTTCAAATCTGAGATCTCATTACACAGCCTCTGAGAGGACCAAGACTAACTAGTGTGGAAGCAAATCACAGCAAAGGAGACAACAAAATTTAAAAATCACATGAAAAACAAAGCTCCTATTAATACCTCAGGATTTCAGAAAAGCTTCTGAATGGGCAGAGTTGACTTTCAAGAAGGACTTATCAATATATTCAGAGTCTTTTCCTCTCGCAGGGCTTTGCACATGCTGTTCCCCAGCCTGGAGGTGTTGAATCCAGAACAGCGGCCCCTCCCCAGTGCTTACTTCCCTTCTCCATCAGAGTCGAAACTGCTCTTTGTCCATGCCCCCCCTCCCCCATTAGATTAGAAGGTCCACAAAGGAACGTCCCATGCCAGTCTCATACACTTAATCATCCCCAACAAGTAGTAGTGTTGGGCACATATTAGGCACTTTTACTTGATGAATAACTGTCCATAAGCTTAGTAGTTACAAAGTCAAAGGCTTACAAGCGAGAAGAACTACATAAAGGAGCAGGTGGGCTGGGAGAGGACTCTAACCAGCTGGAGAGTCACTGAATTAAGAGAAGAATGACAAGCTCTTCTTAGGATGGCTGCTACTCAGCTCCTCCCAGAAGGTACCCTACATAAGGCAGGTCATGTCTGCTGCTGCCAGAACTTCAGATCATTCAAATTACCAGAATTCTAGATTTTCATGTGAGTCTCCTGATTTTTTTAAATGTTGGCACTGAATTCAAAATGTTTTAACCAACCACACTGTGTGGGCCAAGGAAAATAGGCCCCAAAGCCAGATGTAGCTCTCAGTTTTTGAACTCTTATCCTGGACTCTTCCAGAGCCCCTTAAATCCTAAGAAAGCTCAACACACTGGTTCTTGTTTCATCTCACTGGTTGAGAAAGGAAGTATTACCAAAACAATGGGGACTCTTATCAAAATTATGAAGGAAAAAACCATGATGCCATGGAATTAGGAATTCATGTATTTAAAATGAAAACAGTGAATTATTTCATTTCTGTATTTCTATAACTCAAAAACTAGTAGATATCAGAGGCCTATTTTAGATACATTTTTGTAGAGCAAGAGATTTAAATCTGGAATTTTATAACTTATAAATCACTATGTAATACTAGCTATCATCATGAGTAGTGCCATCTGCAATAAATAAAGCTGACCTCTAACTGCTTGAAGTGTTCACTCATTTTGGCCCCAGAATGAGATTCAGTTTCCTTAGTGGCAAGACAACTTCTAAACAGCTCAAGAATTGTTATAAATGACAACTGCTGTTAAGTCTTTAAATTTACAATATTAGGGTTATGAACAATTTTATTCTGAGTTAAACTAGCATTTGTTTCCAAGCAATGCATTTATTTGGAAGGATACCAGTTACCAGTCATCAAAAACTTTTGTATGTTGAAAATGTAATTTTAATAGATAATTCTTCATCTTACATAGGAGCACAATAAAATACACCACATTCTGAAAAAACTCCAGAAGTTACGAGAATAAGAGGGGGGAAAATTCAGATGGGCTACAATATCCATTACCTTAAACTGCAAGAGACAAAGGTTCCAACCCACAGGTTAACATTTACATACTTATGACTGACTACATTTATGTCTTAAAAATAACAAGAATCAGGAATTAGATATGGAAGGGTGGGAAAGAACAGTTTTGTGGGGGAGGAACTCTGTCAATGCAGAAAAAAGAGTTGATTATCAAATTAAAGAATAAAAGGAGCTCCCGTAGCAAATATTAGAGGGATGACAGTAAAGAATCATTAATTGAGGATATGATGCCCTCTAAGGGAGAAACCTTTCTGATGACACTTATGCAAGCTGGCTGCTTGAGATTTGCTCAGCAGGTCTGTAAGAAAGACTCATAAATGGCCTGAGCAAACCCCAAGTGATTATCAGATTGGTGTTTCCTAATAACACACACCAGTGGTCACACATGAAGTTCTGAGACAAGAACTAAGAGCAAGGTCATAATGCAAATGCCAGACACAAATGTGGCACATGTGAAAGTCCCACATAAAGCCAGTCACGAGTGTGGCTGTGCTGTGACTCTCTCTCCTCTACAGTAATTTTCAAACATTGTGGCAAGACACCAATGATCATCTAACTAATCAGACAACACAAACACATTTATTTCAAATTTCTAGGAGGTAAAAAATGTCACATACTGATGCTTTAGGCATGCTCAGGGCCAGCTTATAAATACTCCATTCAGTGATATATCTTAACACAAATTTTGCATTAGTGAAAAGAAACTGGCAAAATCCTCCTCTCGCCATTCAATTTGTCAGACGTTGAAGACCGAAAGAGAATGTTCCATCAGTTTTAATTTTTAAATACGATTGTCACATTGGGAAAAATGAAATAAACACAGTAAAATAAACTGTACAAAGGCAAAGTAGAATAACAAAAAATATTTTACTAAAACATAAGATTTACAGAAGTTTCCAGACAAGCCATACAAAATGGTCACAAGCTTTTTCTTGAAGGGAGGATTCTACACTTGACAGCAAAGTCACAATGTTATTAGTGAGGGCTGTGATGTTTGTTTAATGTTCCCATTTTGGTTCAAACAATCAAGCTTGTCCATCTACAGTGTCTAAATAAAGTTAGACTTGGCTAGAGAGCATATTCTAAAGAACTGGTTAGCTGCTTTTAACCAATGCAATCAGATCACCATAAAAAGGGGGAAAGGAGCCCATAAAATTAAAATAAAACTACCTTCCCCCCACCACCAAAAAAATAATAATAATAAAGAAAAACACCCACACCCCTGCAGCTAACCCTGACAACTACGTTCATTCACAGTGCTTTATACTCAAACCATGATGGGGAAATGAATAAAAGCAGAGAAGGGCCACTGCTTTTAAACGCTTCACAACAATCCAGATGACACTTCTAGCCTCTGCTCATGCTTTACAACAGTGAATCAGGACAAGACATAGATTTGCTAATGTGCATTTAATCACCAAAGGACTGAAGATGTCTGGGCTTTTATTCTGTAATGTTTCTAAGACTGTGTCCATTAAATGCAAACAAAAAAGGAAGAAGTCTTGGCAGAACAAGAGAAGTGATGCACACTTGATGATCGGATCGATTTAAATATTATTCATGGCATATAGCCTAGTCCATGCTCTAGCTGTAGACAAAAATAAACACGCAATTATTACTTTACTTACTTCAATATGTTCCTTTCCAAACTCTATAAAAAGTAAACTAACAGTATTAAGTTAAGTATGGAAACAGCATGCTGTAATCCCTTAAATTCATGCCATTTTCTATAATCTGGATCAGGGCAGAAAGATTGTCTATATGTCTAATTACCAAAACACTACAATAGAATTTTAAAGTTCTACAAAATTCAACAGGATGAAAAGAGCTGTCTTCTTTTGTCTCCTTCATTTCTAGACATATAATGCTCCTCATTAATTATGTTAAAATCTGTAGCAAGAAGCTTACTGATTTCAAACTCCCTAACTAAAAACTGACACATAGTTTAGTTTAATCAAACAGATTGCAAAAACAGCTCAAAGAAGCTTAAAGGTCTTCCATTATCTTTAAGTATTGCTAGATGAATGGCAGGCACTCAGGTATTTGTTAAATCACGTGTAGTTATGCAAGAGTCCAAGATCTCCCAATTACAGTTCCTCTTTAAATTTGGGAGTCATGTAGCAGGCTATAAGATGGCGTTTGAACATCTTTTGTTAAGAGGTTATTTACATACTATAAGAAAGATCTGATTTTTTTCCTTTTAATGTATTTTTTCCTTTTCTTGTTAAGACTCTAAATGATGTTTTTAAGACGGTGGTACAGGGGAATTCCCTGGCGGTCTAGTGGTTAGGACTCGGTGCTCTCACTGCCCAGGAGATCTTAGGCCCAGGAACTAAGATCTGGCAAGCTGAGCACAGTGCAGCCCCCGCCCACCCCACACCCCCCAAAAAAGGTACAGGTTGTTTTTTAAAGTGGAGAATGAATATTAAATACCTGTTTCTATGGCTTGGGCTTCGTTGGTCTTCCACTGCTCCGCTACATCATTTGCTAATGGATCATCTGGATTGGGAGCACTTAACAAAGCCTGGATCGATAGCAGAACTGTGCGGATCTGCAGTGCTGGGGACCACTTATCTACGAAGGCAACAGGCCCAAAATGACCAAGCATGAAAAAAACAGCCACAGAACTGCTGCATTTCCCTCCTACAGAGTTCTGTGGTCTTTATATTATATAAGGTAAGATTACAATATTCAGATTCTCAAAAGGGAATGCTTAAGAGAAAAAGGAGAAATCTTAATAGCATATAATGATAAAGATAACACTTACCTTTCAAAATATCTAAACATATTCTTCCCAACTTGTCTACATTAGGATGATAAATTTTGGTCATGAAACGTACTTTAGGGGCTGCCATTGGGTATTCTTCTGGAAGGAATAGTTCAAGTTTAAAAGTCCCTCCCTCAAAGGGGGAATCCTGAGGGCCAGCAATGACCACATGAAAATAACGGGCGTTGCTCTCATCTGGCTCTGCTTTAATGCCGGGAACTGGCTCTGCCAGCAAACGCTGGGTTTCCTACAACAGAAAAACATAACACATTTGTGAAACAAATATCATTTTGCTAAACACCAAAATAAAAGTTAGAAAATTTATCTCTTGGAATTGGACATAAAAGAACCTCTCCAATTTCCCAAATGGTTTTTATTTAGCTTAATAAAATGCAAAGTTCAAAGGAAATTCAAATAATCACAATCAGCTGAAAGCAACTGCAAGCAAATATTGATGACATCATATACAATTCCAGCTACAAATGTCTACAAATATGTTGAGAATAAAATTAGACTAATGAAACTGATCTTATACTCAAGGGAAAGAGAGAAAAAAAGAAAACAACACTAGAATTACTACATAGGTAAAGTAACTTGCTCTGTTTAAACTTTACCATAACCAAGCTGTTTAAAAAGTAAAGTTAGTTTTTAAAGCCATTGAAAAATCTCCCCTCTTAAAAATATAATGGAACAAAATAAGTACAAGTGCCTAGGCACTTAAACAGGGCTAGAGAAATATACACAACCACGCTGATTAGTCTCTAAAATTGACAACGACTCAAATGGACCCTTCCTGCTCCCTCAGCAACCATATCATTAGTTCTCTTTTCCATCTTTCTCCCTCTCTCCTAAATAACTGTAATATCCTTCCTCCTCTTTGTTCAAACCTCCAATATCTCCATCCACATCCTCACTTTTGGCTGATAACTCTGCTTTGTATTTCATGAGAAAATAGAAACCTCCTTAAGTTCCCACTGTAGCATTTGTATACCAACCCGCATGTGTGTGCCCGTGTGCTCTCCGCCTTTTCTCCTGTTACTAAGGATGATATGGCTGTCACTCTGGCTAAGACCAACCTCTCCTCTAGATCTTATCTCCTTCTCACCTACTCAAGAACATTGCTCTAGCATCGCTTTCCTCTCCTGAACCATCAGTTTCCCCTCTTTATTGGATCTTTCCCCAAACTACAAACTTACTGTAATTTCTCGCCCAAAAAAGGAGAAAATGACCTTGACCTGACTCTCCCCCACCAGCTATCTGCCCCATTGCTTTGCTCCTCTTTGAAAGTTATCTATACTTGCATGTCTCCAATTTCTCTCCTCCCCTCCTATCTTGAACACAACTCTCCAATCAGGCTCTAGCCACCAACCTGCTTGTTGAGGTCATCAATGATTCCCACATGGTAAAATCAAATGGCTAATGCCTGATCTTCATCTTAATTGACTTTAACACAATGCCTTACCCAGCTGGTCTGCCCTCTCCTTGGTCTGCAAGGCTTCATCCAGCTTCTTGCAGCTGGCTCTCTTCCTACTTGTACACTCTCCTGGCTCTCTTCCTACCTGTATGGCAGCAGCTCCTTGCAGTTTCTTCCTACCTCCCCAATACTCCAATATTGACGTGCGCCAGGGCTCTGTCCTAGGTCTTCTACTCTGCCTATACACTTCCAGAGTGATCTCATCCAGTCCAATGAATTTAAATACTCAATCCACTCCATATATGCTGAAGCCCCAAAAGCATATCCTGCACAGATATCTCCCTGAATCATGCCTCTTCTATCCATAACTGTCTGCTCGACAGCTGCTCTGAAATGTCTAATACGCATCCCAAATTTAGCATGACCCTTCCCCACCCTCAACCTGCTCCTCCTCAAAGCCTTCCTCGAGTCAGTTAACCAGAAATCCATCCTTCCAACTGATCCATCTTTTCCTTCATACCCCACCCATCTAACCTGATAAGCAAATTTTGTTGGCTTGAACTTCGAAATCTACCCGGAATTGGACAGAAGTCTCATCACTCCACTGCTACGCTTCTGATCCAAGCCACCATCAGCTCTCACCTGGCAGAGACTGCAACAGCCAACTAACTTGTTCTACCTGCTGCTGACCCTCAACCCCCATCTGTATTCCACAGAACTTTTAAAAATCAAAGTCCTTATAATGCCCCCCAAAAGAAGCTTTACATGATCCCCTCATTCCACCTATCTTTTAGCCATCTTCAGCTATGCTTCTGCCACCCTATCCCCCCTCCTCATGTGCTTTGTTCCAGCCAGACTAGCTTCTATGTAGTTCTTCAACCTGCGAGGCATACTCCTCCCTCAGGTGCTTTGTGCTCACTTTTCTTCCCCCAACTTTCTATAGAGCTCACCCACCCAGTTCCCAAGATCTCCATTCAAATGTGTTTTCTCAGTGAAGCCTCCATAATTGAATCTGCAAACCCCACTCCACCCTATCCCACACCCTCCCCCTCTATCCCTGCCCCCCCCACCACCAACTGTATCTCCAGGGCCTCCGAACATATTACATCTCACTTGTTTTGTTTGGAATGTAAGTAACACAGAAGGGGAGATTTGTGTTTATTTATTGCTATATCCTCAGCATTTGGAACAGTGCCTGGCACCATAGATGTTCAGTAAATATCTAACTGATTTATGAATCTATCTAATGTTACAAAGAACGAGGAATAAACAATCAGAAATTTCATCTTTAACATTAATGTTATTCAAAGCAGGATGAGCACATCACAAGAAGAAAAAGAATTCACTCAGGGGCTTCCCTGGTGGCGCAGTGGTTGAGAGTCCACCTGCTAATGCAGGGGACACGGGTTCGTGCCCCGGTCTGCGAAGATCCCACATGCTGTGGAGTGGCTGGGCCCGTGAGCCATGGCCACTGAGCCTGTGCGTCCGGAGCCTGTGCTCCACAACGGGAGAGGCCACAACAGTGAGAGGCCCGCGTACCGCAAAAAAAAAAAAAAAAAAAAAATCCACTCAGGTATGGGAAGAAATAATTTATATTTATAAATTATTTACCAGAAAAATGTTAATATTCAATATACAAACTGACAATAATAGTACATGTAGTTTTATATATTGGTAATATATTTTCAACACTTTGAATACGTATGTGTAGTCAAAAACATGTAGAACACTGCAGTATTTAAATATTTAGGTATGAAAATCAATGAATGAGAATGCTGTATTCACACTGCCTTCACTTAAGAAAAATTATACACCTTACACTACTTCACTCTACAGCCTGCAGCGCATATACTAAAAGATTTCTCTGTCAGCACGGTTATATATTGAAATAGTCACAAGATGCAGATACAAAATCAAATCCTGTCCCAAAATGTGTTAAACTCATTTAAAGTAATGCTTTTAGTACTTTAATTCAAGACTAGTTTGTTTTGTTTAGTTTTAATCATGGCAATGCAAGGGCAAATCAAAAACTGAAATGATATACACTACTTTCAGCAAAATATTCTTTAGATTCAAAGTAAAACATTTTTGGAGCATTAAAAATCTCAAGAGGCAATAAAGCAGCCTCCCATCTTGGGAAGTCCTCCAACATGTAACTAGAACAAAAGAGAAAAAGTAAAGATATCAGGATGAACAGCAGGCGTGAAGGAATGAGAAAAGAAGTGGATGGTAAAGTTCCTTGAATTTTGGCTCCTCGCCTCCATCCTCCTTTGGTTTTACCCCAGGTCTTCATATTTTTAGAAAGCCATAAAGAGAGAGACTGGGGGAAAAAAAGAGAAAGCTGGGGTCCAAGGGCCCCAAAACACCCTTCCCTGGTTAAACGAAATAGTAGCTCTATTCAAATCTATAAAAAGCTTCCAGAAGGGCCTCCAAGATCACATCCCAAAATAGCTTCAAAATCACTCTCTGTAGACATTGTCAGAGGCAGAGAGGGCATTCTCCTCATCTTCAGTTCACCCTCAAAATCAGACAGTCTTTCTAAAGAACGTACATATTAAACATATCATGTGGCCTGATCAAGTATCAGATTTAATCAGAACACATTCTAGAATAAGCTCTTGGGTATCAAAAACTTTTTGAAATAGTTTTTATATGCTCTCAAGTCCTAACGGATTTTGATATAATGAATAGATGCATAATTATTTGACTACACAGCACTGATTTCCCAAACCCACAGCATAAATTACAGGAGGAAAAAAAGAATAAAATCCAAACCAAATGGAACAATTCTCTCCCATAGAAGTCGATTTTTTCCCCTAAAAAGGCAAAAACTGGGTAGGAAATAAAATCCTTCCTGCTACTACTCTCACACATGGTTAACTCTGAAACACGTTCTAGTTTTATCCTATCCTTTGGTAGAAAGACAGTGAAGTATTCTTCAAGTCTAGAAATAATGGGTTCAAATTACTAGTGCATTGCTTAACTACAGTTTTGAGCAAGTAATTTACATTGCTCTGAGCCTCAGCTTCCTCATCTATATAGTTAACATTACCTCTCATGCAGAGGTGCTATGAAGAGCAAATGAGGTAACATTGTAAAAGGACTTGGCAAATGAAGTCACATAAGAAGGCCACAGTCACATTATAACCAACTCAGAAAGAATCTAGGGTAAGAACAAAGCACAGTAACAAGTCTCAAGATTTATTAAATAACAGTGTTTGTTTTTAAAGCAAACAATAACCTTTAGTTGCATTTTGTGATCCTATTTGTTTAAAAGCTATCCTGGGACTGAATCCCAGATAGAACTTAGGTTAGGCCATGCAGAATAGAAAGTAATGTAGACTAGTTTAGAAAATTGGTTACAAAAAGTAGAAAAGTACATAAAAGGAGAATATGAATTTAAGTGGCAACAAGATTAGGTCGCAGGGAAACTATGTCATCTTACAGAATGCATATAGCAGTTCATGCTACAAATACTTTAAAGGATTTAAATAACATCAAATTGATCTGATTATCAACAGATCTATTGGGACTCAAAGAGCAAATCCCAGAATAACACCACAGTAATGACAACACTTGACATTCAATCAACTAAACTCCATTAACTAGGACTTTTCTCGTTTTTAGGTTCAGTAATAATTTGTGTGCACTATGAAACAATGTAAGGTCTTACAAACTTTAAGGCAATGAATTATGTACAGTAAAATTTTAGATAATAAACCACTCTTAGAAAAAGAGTGGTAATTTTCATGTAGGAAAAGCTGTCCCACTTATTAACTGTATATACCCCCAACACATTATATGTACAGCAATTAGGTTTTTCCCCATTTAGA